TCCAGCTAGCAAAGCATTCTTACTCAAGGACAATGTAACACTGGTCAAAAAAAGGAAGCAGCAGTAGATGACAACACACTGTGTCTATGATGCACACCAGCACAGTCACTCTTGAGCAAACAGCAAGAGGTTTTATTAATGCAAGAAATGACAGCTGTGTCACTGAGTGGCTTTCCTTGTCTGATTTGAAAGAATCTGCTCAGTGACTGCATGGCTTCCTGATAATTACTTGGAAGTACTATTAAGGAGAGAAAAGAGATGGGGCATGATTTATTTATTTTGCTCTACCTAGACTTCTTAGTTCGAGGGACACTGAGACATACAGAGAGCACCCCTCTTTTTAAAAAAAAAAAAATTATCAACATCCCTTGAAATGTCTTAGAACCTGAAAATTCACCTTGAAATTTTGCTTTGGGCCCATCCAATAACTCTTTTCCTTTCCCCTCCCAATTCCTCAGATGTTTTGTCTGGGCTGGAACCTCCTAATTTTCTTTGACATTTTGGTTCAGAAATGATATTTTTGGCAGAAACTCTCTTTTAATTCACAGTGATAATTCTCCACTCCTGGGTACTTTGGGGGGAACAATTCAACTACAGGAATGTGCAGGCAAGCTGGAATCATTTGAAAGGGGGCTGTAACAGGGGAGAAAGATTCCTCTTGTCCCATGAGACACTGGATCATCTAATGGGAATATTGACGATAAAACCCCTATTGTTAAGTTCAATGCTTTGGCTCTAACAGTCATAAAAAACAGAGCACTAATTTAAATTTTTTTTATTTATTTAAACCATCTACATACTGCTCAACTACAATAATCTCTAAGCAGTATACAAGAAATGCAATACAGGAAAGGTAAACATTGATCAAAACTATAAAACCAGACTTCAATTAAAATATGTGCTGATTCAATAGGTACGGACAGTTCCATGAGGAGGGGACCTGTCTCATCTAAACTGGAAGGAGACCAGTGCAGCATTATGGAATACTAAAATGAAGGTGAAGCCCACTACAAAATATATTCCTGGTGTGTGTGTTACCTGAGCATGGTGTTTGTGTTGCCCAAGAGAGCAAAAAATAAGGCTTATCCACACCTCTTCTTGTCTGGCTGCTTCCCCCCCCAGGGAAAATTACTCTTTAGCATTCAGTTGGGGCAAGTGGCAATTTTGGTTTTCTCTAAAGAGCAGGTTTTCCCTGGCAAAGGAGCAAGGCAAGGGGAAAACCACTCAGACCCATGCCTAGAAAGTAAAGGTCAAGACAAATTCCTGCTCTAACTTGGGTCTTACTTCCTGTGCAAAATTTGGAAAGGGTTGTATCGGTCAAAGACTTGTGCAATGAAAATTCTATTCCTTCTCCTCTTCGCATACACCCTATGCCCCCCTCAAATCTGCTCGAGGGTTGCTGTCAGAGGAACCCCAAAACAGATATGTGCTGAAGGAGGGAAGAAGGAGAGAAGTTCCACTGCACAAGCAGAAGTCCTAGTAGAAACAGAATGACTTGGCTGAATACATCATTCAGAGAGGGGGGGAGAGAGAGAGAGAGAGAGACTTTCAGATGTGCAATCAGTCTATATGCAAAACAGTGGAACAGGAGGTGGTAGTAGAAGAAGAGGAGGAGGAGGAGGAGGAGGAGGAGGAGGAGGAGGAGGAGTTTGGATTTGATATCCCGCTTTACCCTAAGGAGTCGTCTCAAAGCAGCTAACAATCTCCTTTTCCCTTCCTCCCCCACAACAAACACTCTGTGAGAGACTTCAGAGAAGTGTGACTAGCCCAAGGTCACCCAGCAGCTGCATGTGGAGGAGCAGGGACGCGAACCCGATTCACTACATTACGAGTCCACTGCTAGATTTATCATGAATGAAATCAGAGAGGACAATTTAAGTAGACTGACTTTTGCTGCAACACGATAACTATGTTAATAATGGACCACACTTCAGGGCTTTTTCTCAGAACAGCCACTCCACCAGTAAGAGGGGCGTAACCATGCAGTGTACTGCATGGTTGCTGTGTCCTACTTTCTCAGACCAATCTGCAATGTGGGGTTAAAAGCAAGGGATACCACTGTAGAGAGAAGGGGATATAGTAATAGACCCCTGGGTTATTTCCTTAGTCACATGTCCATGAACACTGGGGCTGAATCTTTTAGATAAAGGCTGCAAACCCATGAACACTTTCCTCAAAATAAGCTCCACTGAACACAGTTAGACTGAGTAAACATGCATAGGATAGCGGTGCAAACTAGCATTTTTCATCTATTCTCTCCCCAGATCTTATTGCTGATAACCTTGGCAGCAGGTACATTATCACTGGTATTGTTTAAGATTCTCTTGAGGTTAAGCTAGCAAATCCTAGCTTTGCCTTTCTATGTCCGTCCTTCATTTCTTAAAATGCTCAGAAATTATAGCATTTTGATAAAGCAGCATGGCCAATCTGCAGCATTTTCATGCCCTGGCAAACTTTAGCGAGGGAGTATATTTGCATGCACATTTTTTCCTGATGTGTACTTTTTAATCATGCTTTTCATTTATAAGCTTTAATATGAAATGTGAAATTGGCTCTTATTATGACGACTTGCAGTAAAGGCCATATTGTTCCTATGCGATTGCAGACTTCATTTCCACAGAAAGCACTAGAGGTTCCCAAAGGGGATGTGGAACACAAGTCAAATTCTGGAGCAATAGAAAAAGACACAGGGGAGAGTTCTGATTATGTTACATTGAAGGGGAACATGTGGTTATACTGTAGTCTAATAAAGCCCCAGTGTTTGCAGCAGACATGTGACTCTGACTGGAATAAATCAATCTAGCAAAATATATATTCTTCCAGCAAGATAAAAAAATAAATAAATTTGTTCATCTCTTTCAAGAATTTGCTCTTACTGAATCTGAAATATTGTTTTTATTCTAACCAGCAACACTTCCACTAAGACTCTTGCTGATTTCAACTGCCAAAGACAGATTGGCACAAGGTCCTTGTCATCACATCACTGGCATGTTGTAAGAGCACTCATTGCTGGAAGGAGGCATACAAGGTCTTAGGGACTCCAGATTTGTGTAGAGTTTACTCCTTAGCATTTTACTTCCTCCCAAATATATCTCACAAGGCAGTGGAGGTTTAGGATCAGAGTTTTCCTTCTCAGGGCTACCTTCTCAGGTTGACAAGCCCCATGGGTCTCCTAACAATTCTCAGTGCCCTTAACAAATTAAAACTCCCAGAATTCTTTGGGGGAAGCTATGGCCAATTAAAGTGGTATCGTAGTGCTTTAAATGTATGGTATGAATGTGACCTCTGCAAAGAGGCACACAAGTAAAGGACTCTTTACATGCTGACCAAGAACACTGTGGTGCTAACTAGTATTACCTGGGATAATTTTTAGAGGATTCAGCACGTTGCAGCCCCCACCTCTTGCTCCCCAGCAGCAGAAAGATGAGCACATCCAAGCCACCTCCAGCAATATACTGCTGTATTTAAAGGCAACTGGTCTAATAAAGAGCATCTAATCACCATGACAACTGATGTTTCTTGGCAGGCAATGAAGCAAGCCTCTGATCGGAAACTGACACTCATTAACACTGCTCTAGCTGTGCAAGGGGCTTGCTTGTTCACTTGTTTTGGATTTTTGTTTAAAGGTCAGGCACAAAAGAGTAAAAAGGCATATTTGAGGTATTTAGAAAATGTAGTGGTTTGTTCTATTGAATACCCCAGTTATAACAATGCACAGATTTATTAATAGCTGATCTTTTCAGCCCTCTTTATGTATTGATAACATTTATTCATTTCATTTCAAATGGGCTCTGAGAACTATGCATTCACTCTAATCACTAACAATAAGGTGGTGGGAAAGTGTGTGTATGTATATATAGAGAGAGAGGGGGGGAAAGTAGAAAGGTTGCCTTGTTATGGTAATCAAGGTAGCTTATTTTCGGGTTTCTTTCTTTGTGGAGTTCTGTACACAGGTTTTCAGCTTTGAATAGATACTGAAAATCTATCCCAGAAAACAGCATCCATGACAAAAGAAAAGGAAGCCAACATGGTATCCTAGAATAAAAGTCACACTTCTTTCACAGGTACCTCAAGGGATACTATTTCTATATGGCAACTGTATGCTGTACAATCCATCAAGTGACAGGATGTGTGTCTCTTCTGACCATTTCTGAGATTCCATCCTTGGCATCTGCATTTCAAAGGATCAGGTTGCAACTGATGAGCAATATGGAGATCCTGGTGAGCTGTTGACCATCAAAGAAGAGCAACAAGGTGACCAAAGGTCCACATGTGCCCCCAAAGGGTTTGAGATTGGGGATGAAAAAAGCATTCTATTGTAGCCAACGTAATAGGGTGCAATGTGCACTTAGCTGTGAGGTGTGTTTGGTGCCCACAATGGTTTCTTAGGTTTGCAAACACACCAAAAGTTTGGAGGAGGCCATACTGCACTAGATGGACAAATATTCTGGCACAGTATAATGCAGCTTGCTATGCATGTGTCATGTGTGATCATAGCAGAGTTCTTAAGTGAATAAAGATTGCTGCTCAAATAGTCCTTCACACAGGCAATATAGGAACGCAGAGCGTTTCTACTATAGATCAGTTATTTTTGCTGCCTTGGACTCCTCCTTGCATTTCCATTAATGAAAGACGATCAATCCTGCTGTGAGGAGGCAAACTGCCAAGTTAGTCCTTTCCTCCAATAACTCTCAACCCCTTAACGAAAAGCAACAGGTCCCAGTAGAAATTAATATTGAATCAAAGGAAGTTGGAAGTGGAATGGGGGGAAATTATAAATAAACTACTTAGCCATTACAGTTTTGAAAATAATTGGCAATTGTCTCCTTTGCCAGAGCATTATCACATTTAATCATAATCTGATTTCCCATGCAATTTGAACTCTAGCTGTTCTCTCTGGTAGCTGGCCTAGAGCCCTGGAAGCCTATGGCACCTTTTTTTTGCAGCGCTCTTTGACCTAATGTGCACACTGGATGGATTAAAGGCAGCCAGGGTGCCTTGGAGTAATGGTCATAGCTCAGTGGTTCATCATCTGCCTAGTATGCAGAAGATCCTAAGTTTGATCCCCAGCATCTCCAGGTAGAGCTGGGAGAGACTCCTTGCTTGAAACCCTGGAGAGCTGCTGCCAGTCAGTGTAGACAGTACTGAGTAAGACCAATGGTCTGGCTCAGTATAAGGCAGCTTCCTATACTCCTATGCTATGTTTTCCTCGCTGCTTTCCCAGCCTCATGAGATCTGTTTATCCATAAGCAGCTGCTGCCACATGGAGAATATCCACATGCATTCATTTGTTTGGCATGTTTCTAATCTTCCCCTCAATGAATCATCAGGGTGTCTTTCATGATGAGGTCTCTGGGGTGGGGCCAGTCATGTGACTTGCATGATCCAGCCAATTAGGTCGGGGTCAGTCATATAAATCTTTGCAACATAATTTCCACTGCTCCAGGTGGGTATTGCAGCAAAGATCCATACAGATGACCACACATAATCAGCTGGGTCATTTACAATTGTCAGTGTCATGCATATTTTATCATCATCACCATTGCCACCTATTCTTATAATAATTTATAACAGTACTAATTGATTTCTGAACCTTATCCCAATTGACCTGAATCTGTGTGGCAGCATGTTATAGATCATAATGCATTAGACTCTCTTGCACCCTGCATCTAAAGTCTGTGCTTTCCTGGGTTTGAAGAATTTATTGAGATTCAGGATACCTGGGGGAGCTCATCTAAAAATATATGTATATGAACCTAGAAATCCTGTGCCGTTTTAAACTTCAACTGATTCAGGTGTATAACTTCCCTATGCAAATAACAGTCTTCCAGTTCATTGTCAATCATCTCTTTCATGTTAAAACCATCAAGCTAGGAACGAGGTTTAAGTGGAACTGCTCAGAGGGAAAAATATCCACTTGTTTACACTAAATGATTCTGAAAAATCATTGGTGTGGAATGATGGAAATGCCTTACCCTTTTTCTGCAGAGGGTCTGGCTGCAAATATTTGCTGACATAAGTATTCTGGTTTCAGTTCTGTCTATTTGGTACTTCACTTCAATTTTTAATCAAGTCACTTTAACAGATATTTCCTTTCGGACTTTTCAAATCAGGGTGTGTGTGTGTTTTTATATAAAAAAATGTAATTCAACATTTGTTGACAAAAGTATTAGCAGTCAATGTACTCATCTAATGTGCCTTTGTACAAGATTATGTTTTGGGGGCATAGATGCTGAAATCTAAATATGTTCATTACTGATGTTAAACCTGAAAAGGCAACTATAAAAGCCTAGGATGGTGGACAGGGAGAATGCACCTGTGACCTCTTTCATATGCTTACCATAAAGTACCTTATGAGGACTGAGATGAATATTCTTTTCTTCTCCATCATCAGGTCTCATTACAAGACTTCACAGTGAGTGGAGTAAACACAGGGTTGTGTTCCACTTGTCCTCCAAGTCCTGGAGAGTAACTGTCTACAGTGGAGAGGATTATGCCAGTGCCGTAGCAAGGGAGGGGTGGGGTGGGATGCATCAGGTAGTGGGGGGGGCTGTAGGGTGGCCAGGGGGCTGCTGTTCATCCTGGGGAGCTATAGGGCTGCACATGTGATTCATGGTGGCATAATCACTGTCTGTTCCACAGAAAGTTGATGTTCCTCAAAACAGCTCAACAACTTCAGGTGCTCTTCTAACAAAAGCTGAACAACTTTGGGTGATCATCCAAAAAAAAAAAAAAAAGCTCCGCCCCAGGAGCCGGTAGGGATGGCTATGCCACTGGCTTCTGCACTTTGGGAGACCCTCTGCATATTTGCATATTTTAGTAACCCTTTTCCCCGAGTTCTAAAGCACATCGGGTGGCTCCCCAAATGCCGAACATGCCCACTGCAACACTCACCCTCCACAATTTGGAGGGTTCCCAAAACAGTGACAGGTAGGGGTGGATCGAGCATGCTTGCCCCTACTGCCCCCCCCAAAAAAATGTTCACACCGATTGCAATACCCAAAGAGGTCTCTGGTCTCTGGTGCTTAATGGTCATAATCGCTTTTATGATTCCATATGGTTATTCTCTAGAAAAAAAATATACAGTCTAAAAGCAAAGCAAAGCTTGCACTGGTGGGTGCTGCATTGTGGTTTAGCGTTACTAAATTAATTGCAAAATTTCAAACAGTATCCCAGAATGTAGGATGAAGATCCCTACACAAATGGTTTCAACCCTGTCTATTTGATACACAGCAGTCCTTCTATTGTGTAGTATAAGAAGCGGACCTTATGAGCAATAGCACAGAGATGAAAGGATTGCTTTTTACAGATATAAGCAATTTGCCATTACAAGGTGTACCTAGCCTAAGTGGAATTTGTGTCAACAATAATATTGCTCTAAGGTCAGTAATGTTAAAAAAAAAAAAGCAAAAAGGAAGAAGCAAGCATGCATAATGGGACAGAGGAATATACAGTAATCTACAAAGCTATTGAATTAGTATCATGGTTAGATTGTTGTAAAGGGTACTGAGGGCTTGACTTGATAGACAAATTGAAAGTTTCTCCAGGAACTGTATCTAACCAATGGTTCTATCCCAACAGGAATCTTTTCAGCTATTCTATTTCTTAGGCTTCCTCGGTGTAAAGTATGCCCCTGCCTAATTTTAGCAAACACAATTTTTAAACCCTGCAAGGGAAGAAATGATGGATGAGGTTTGCATTAAGCACTCTCTCTCTTCCCCCAAGTGACTTTTAAAACAATAAAAATAGGCCATCCAGGTATAGTTGCAAACATTTGCATGTAACGTGTAGATTGCCAGGCAATGCGTAGATCAATTCCAAGTGAAAACATACTTGTGTCCTATTTATTGTGCTTTCCAGTCCTCTCTTAATAAGTTGTTATATTATCATTTAAATTATTCTAAAATGGCATTTTAAATTGTGTACAGAAGCTATTGGCAGAAGAAGGAAGAAAAAACGGCTGCTGAATATGCTCTCTGATTCGTCTAGCAAATTAATAGATTAAAACATAGCAAGGGTTAGAGAAATCTCAGTATCAAGGCAAAAATAGCTATTATTATTTTAAAAGACAGAGAGAGGATGAAATGGGGAAAAAGGGAAAAAATCAGGCATGACATTTGAGCTTCTTGGACGAAAGAAGGGATGTTAGAAATCACAAATTAAAGCCCAGTTTGTGTCCTTAGAAGGTCGGTGATCCTTTCTCCATGTTGAAGGATCAGTTGTGTGTCACATCCCAACACATGCATGTAGATGCCCAATTGCATGGTTGTGTTCCTCTTAGGAAGGAAAGCAGGGGATGGTCTCTGGATCCACAGGTCTCTGGATGGAGTGCTTTACTGACCAGCTATATGCTGAGTGTAGATGCATGGGGGGGGGGGGGCTTGGACCTGTTCTTCCACTCCACACTTTACTTCCTTAGTGCATCAAAAGGCAACAAATAAAATAGAAAACAGCTATATCTTGTGTAAGGAGTTTCTTCTGTATTGGTCCATATATGAAGGGATCACCGTACTGCAGATCCTGCCTCAACAGAATTTCACTCTTTTCAAAAGAGTTCTTGTGGGGCAGAACTCAATAGGTTGCGTCTCTCTTGTGCAATATGGTGCTCCTGGCCTTTGCATTGCCTTTGCGGTGGCAACATTTGCAGTGTGTTGGAAATGCATGGTCAGCTTGTTTGCTTGTAAAGCTCATTGTAGAGAGTGTGTGTGCCTGTGAAAGGTCAGTTCTAATCAATCTATTCATCATCTAAATAGAACCAAAACAAAATTAAGGTGGCTGGAAGGCCTTATGCACTCTTTCACATTTCAGCAACTAAGTTGATGGAGAGGCGCCACCAATTTGCTATCTCACACAGAGCCCGCTTTCATTTGTTCTCTTAATGGCCCATCACCCAGGCAATTGCATATATAGCCTGGGATATATTTTAACATTTATGGGATCCAGGGGTTAGAAGGACCTGCATGCAGCTTACTTTCTCCCTCTTAAACTCACAACAATATTAAGAACAGACACCAAATAGTACAAATGGCATACCTCAGAATTTATGTGAAGTCCTATGATTCTTACTATGCACCCTCATGCATGTATTACTGGTATACATCATGCACAATGCTGTGTTAGTATGCAGTATTTATTCTGACAGTTACTGCAGCAAAAACATTCTTCCATTGGCTCCTTGCAACTGTAAAGTCATATGCACTTTTATTTATTTCTTTTGAGACAAGAGGGGTATTTTGTGAAAGGGTTGGGGGCTTGCCCATCTGACAAACCCAATCAGTTCGGCAGCTTTCATTTTGGCAGATTTCATTCTGGCAGAAGCCGTTATCGATATAAAACCACTCAAAAAATTCAGAAGTGTAGTATTTTCCATAGAAGACTGCAGATCAATAAACACAGAGATGTCCCTGCTGCCCTGCTAAGATTTCTTCACTGCACTTCATGACAACACATCGATACAACTGTCTGGGCACCTGGACTTTTCTACAAACTATAAATCCCACAGTGTTATCAGTCACTCTAATTTAGTTTTACTGAAGGTTTGCTTTTGATTAAAAGCTCAATGTTTCAAACAGTTGCATCTCTGGCGAATGAAAGGGCTACAAGCAAGAGTACTCACAGGGATTAAGGGCACTGCTCAGGGTTTCTTACAAGCATTCCTGTAACAACAGTAGATTTGTCAGTCTTTAACGGATAAACCACATTCGGTGCAACAGGTAAGCATAGCTGAGGTCTTTAAATGGGATCATCACCCTTGAGAAGTGGTGCCTGTATATGAGAAAAACACCCCATTAAATTATGGGTGACATCTAATGATCTGCATCCACTTACACAATAGAAATTCACTTGTGCAATGGCAGGTGGGGGTGTGGCTTAACCCACAGATGATTTCAGGGATACAAGAGGCTGCAGGGGAAAGAGAGGAAGGAGCAGATGTCTAGTGGCACTACACTGGATCTCACCCTTAGATAAAATAAAATATATACAGTGTTGGATCCTAAAATAAATTAACTTAGGGAAGTTCATAGAACAACATTTTCCATCCCAGGCTCTCTCTTTTGGTCACATTCACCTCCTCAAA